GTGCGATCATACACGTGTCCGTCCATCCATGTGGAGACCAGAAGTCCACTTGGTCCTTGAACCATCTTCCCCAGTCTTTAACGGTCACTCTCTACCTTAATTCCTTTTGGAGACAGCTTGCTCAATGATTGTGTCATTGCCTCCCTTGTCTGGGTTTATGGGCATATGGTCCTGATGTGTCTTTTTCTGTGGGTGCTAGGTCTCCAAATTCAGGTTTTCATGACTGCATGGCAGGCACTTAGCTTATAGGTTAGTCTTCCTAGCCCCTGAGCTACCTTGTTTTATTTCCTTTATCTTCTTTTAATTAATCCCCCCCCCCATTATTTATCTCTTTTAGTGCCTCACCATATAGCCCAGCCTGGCCTCTATGTAACCCAGGCTAGCCTTAGATTCAGGCTCTTTCTACCGCTGTCTCTTGAGTCCTGAGATTGCAGGCATATGCCACCACCCCATAATTTTCAGCCATTCTACGGACATGGGTCTGATCCCACTCCCATATACAGATAAGTCAATTAAAGCACTGAAGAAGTGGGGGCTGTGACATTTTTCTTAGATGCTGTGGTCCCTAAGCCTCAGCCACCAAAATCTACACAGATCCTTGGGGCATTAATATACCTGAGTCCCATTAACAGATTTACTAACTGGCAGCTTTGAAACCTTGGGCATTGTCTGTGGCCTCAGTTTCTCCATCTGTGACATGGAGACGATAAGACGAACTAGCTGGCCAGGTGGTGGTGGCACATTCCTTTAATCCTAGCATCCGAGGCCTAGGCAGGTGGATCTCTGTGAATTCAAGGCCAGCCTGGTCTACACAGAGAGTTTCAGAACAGTCAGAGCCATACAGAGCAACCCTGTTTTGAAAAACAAAAAATAAAAATAAAAAGAGGAGCTAGCTGCCTGCTAGTTTCTGGTTTTATTAAAGGAGAAAATGATCCCATGGGAGAAATGGGTGGGAGTGAGGGCTTGGCCTTTCTCCTGAGGCTCTTACATTATCATGTCCTGGTGGCGGGTGGGGAGAACTTTCTAGAATGAGGACAGGGTATAGCCAGGAATGAATTCCTGGCTATTTCACCGCCCCCCCAAAAAAAAACAAGATGCAGCCCCCCCCCTCCAGGGAGTGTCTCTGGGTATTTCCTACAAAAGCCACTGCCTGGGTGTCTCTCACCAATAGGAAAGGCCCTGTCATTGGGGGTTCACTAGATAGGCTCACAGTCCAAGTTGGCGTCAAACTCATGGCAGCCTGAATGTTGGGATTATGGGTATGCGCCACCACATCTGTCTGAAGAACTGCCATCTTAAACCCAATTCTTCTTGCAGGGAACAAGTTTACCAAAGACCCCATGAAGCTGGAGCCAGCCAGCCCACCAGAAGACACTTCCACAGAGGTCTGTAGGGACACTATGCTGGACCTGGCTGGGACTGCTTGGTAAGGTCACTATTCTGTTCTGAGTTAGGCCTGTGATCTGCACAGTCTAGGAAGGGCTGAGGCCTAACTGGTTTCCACCACCCCACTTGGACCCTGGATTCTACACAAGGGCTTACTGTGTGTGGCAGGCTGTGGATCACAGAAATCTCTTGCCTCTGCCTCCTTAGTGCTATGGTTAAAGGCATGCTCCATCATACCTGGTCTTGATTTTATTTATTTATTTATTTATTTATTTATTTGAAGATTTTATTTATTTATTATGTATACAACATTCTGCTTCCATGTACACCAGAAGAGGGCACCAGATCTCATAACGGATGGTTGTGAGCCACCATGTGGTTGCTGGGAATTGAACTCAGGATCTCTGGAAGAG